GGTCCTTATGTAGTATCCTTGTGTCTCTGTGATGTCTGACGAGGCAGTCTCGTCAACTGCCTGGCAGGAAGTTGTGGGCGGAGCTATCTACTTTGTGGGAGGAGCACCAACAGAGCGCAATCCGCGCGCGGCCGTTGTTCAGAAATGAATGAAAAATGTTAGAATTGTTGAAGTGAATAATTAGGTTCATAGAAACTTGATATTATAGAGGATTTTCGAAGAATTATGACCAAGGTTACAAATAAAAATAGAATTATCGATATCCTATCGTATTCAGGTGCTCCTTCTGGAACTTCGTCTGAAATCCGACGAACAGTCCCGTCAATTGCAAGACTTTGTTTCGGCCAAGGGTCGTCTTTATTCCGAAAACTCGGACTTGGCTCGTCAAGTTGAAGAGCTCGAGGGCAAAATCCAGGCAGCAACACGTCTGAAGCTCCAGTTCTCCAACGAACTCGACCAGACCCGTCGTTTTGCCGAAGAGGAGGGCCGCGAGAGACAGAATCTGAACAGCTTGTCCAAAAACCTTGCCCGTCAACTCGAGCAACTGCGCGAAGCGATCGAAGACGAGGTGGCCGGCAAGGCTGAATCGACCAGACAACTACAGAAAGCCCAAGTCGAATTGGATCAATGGAGAACGAAGTTCGAAACCGAGGGACTCATCGGAGCTGACGAATTTGACGAGGTGAAGAAACGCCAGAATGCCAAGACCACCGAGATTCAGGACTCGCTGGATGCCTGCAACGCCAAGATCGTCGCACTGGAGAACGCCCGCAGTCGGTACGCATTTAGCTACTGAGTTCTGCTTATTCATAGATCAATGTTGACTTTTCAGACTCACCGCCGAAGCTGACACCAACCGCCTTGAGGCCGAACATCACGCTCAGGCAGTGGCATCACTGGAGAAGAAGCAGAAGGCCTTTGACAAAGTCATTGATGAATGGAAGAAGAAGGTAGATTTCGATTTACAATTAAAATCTAATTTTGTAAAACATCTGTTCATACTAAGCTTTGGAATTTAGTATTAGGAAGAACAGGTATTAACTGGCTTCTTTTTTAGGTTGATGACCTGTACCTGGAATTGGATAACGCTCAACGTGACTCGCGTCAGCTTGCTGGGCAGGCACACAAAACTCCGTGGCACCATTGACGACTCTGTGCTGAATCAGGTCGAGGCACTCAAGAGAGCGGAACAAAGCTCTCTCCGATGAAGCGTTGTTTGATATATGGTGGAGATACTTGGATTTTTAAGATTCTCTGATATTGGTATTATATTTCCTTTGAGTCACTTTCGTATAGAGTGCCGGGCTGCAAAACTAATCGGAGATGTCTCGATGTTTACTACGGTAGCGCGCCATTGTACGCAATAAACTGCCAACTAACACTGATCTCCTCATTGTGCAACTTTGGTTACCTTCTTCTCATTTTTATACCATGTGGAGAGGCGGGGTGGGGGCGGAGGAAGCTTCGGGTACAAATGGCGAATGTCTAACACCCCACTTCTTTCCTTTTTCCTTCCTTTCAAAGCTCGCCTATCGGACGCCTATCGCGTCTCGTGAGGTCACTTGCGTACACTACGAACCATTCGTCCTAAAAATTCTAGTATGCCTTCGATCTAGGTTATTTGCACTACAAATTTTCATCTGTCAATATTCATAATGGGAAACTCCAGGAAATAAAACTCAAGAAGCAGAAAAAGATGCGTTTGACTATCGGTGGAAAACTTATTTTCATGGTGATTCAGGCTCGTGACCTTTCCGATCAGCTCGGCGAAGGCGGCCGTGCCATGCACGAGCTTTCAAAGAAGATGCGTTGTTTCGAAATGGAGAAAGAAGAACTTCAACGAGGACTTGATGAAGCTGAGGTGAGTTTAACTCTCAATATGTGCTTACCTGGGATCCAATAATGTAACAAAACCCTTTTTTCACAGGCGGCTCTTGAAGCTGAGGAGAGCAAATCGCTCCGTTGCCAGATCGAAGTCTCCCAAATCCGAGCGGAGATTGAGAAACGTATCGCTGAGAAGGAGGAGGAATTCGAGAACTCGCGTAAAGTTCACCAGCAGACCATCGACAGCATTCAGGTTGGTTTTTGAATCATTTCTAGGTATTCTTTTGTGTCCGGTGGCTAAGGAATTCTGCACTACAGACTTCACAACACAAGCGACGGTGCTCTCCAAGAAAATCTGTTAATTAGTAGTTTATAGTGAAAGCTGATAGCTGATAAATGATAGCTGTAATTAGTGACAATCGATAGAATACAACTGCAACGGCTAATCATTTCATTGGCAGAAAACTATTACATTTTGTGAAGTTGTCGTCACTTGTGTTGTGAAGTCTGCACTGGACAAGCATCTGGTCGCTGGATACAAAAGGTCTTTCGCTGCGTATCCCCACAGAGTAGCTAATCTCAGCCCTACGATAGACGTGGGGGCTAAACTATCTGGGCAGTACTGGAGTAATTGCTCGCCAGGAGCCAGAGCTTGGTACCCAAGTTACCATCAAGTTAACGCGGCCTTCGAATTTTTACATTACAAAATTGGGGTTTCATCCAGTAAGGGGGGCATGTGGTGCGACAGTTCTTGTCGGCTACAGAAATTCCAATTTTTGCAAGGGAGGGAATCCCGGGGTGCGTGAACCATTTCGCTTAAGCTTTTACACCCACCCCGGAGCTTCCCTTGACTGCGAAAAATTGAATCACTTTGAATGTTATGAACTGTCGCACCAATCCCTCCTTTTTACCGAATAAGATTCCAAAATTATTCAAAGAAAATAGTTGGATTGGGTAAAACAAGGTAACCTACTGATATTGAATTCTCTTCAGGCTACCTTGGAATCAGAGACGAAGTCGAAAGCCGAGTTGTTCCGTGTAAAGAAGAAGCTCGAGGCTGACATCAACGAACTCGAAATCGCTCTTGATCATGCAAATCGTGCCAATGAAGATGCTCAGAAGAACGTCAGGTGAGCCCACATAGCTTTTAGTGTGTATCGTTCTATCGACTGTCCTATGAAGGAATTAAAAGCTCAATCAAAGCGATTTTTTTTAAACGTTCCGGGGAATCCTTCTCCTTAGATGCTTCTTGCACCGGCTCTGAGTCTTCAAAATTTCGCATTCTCATTCAACTCACTCTAGGGACCAGAATCTCATAGGGTCTTCCCACTCATCCATCTTTGTGTTTCAGAAGATACATGGACCAGACACGTGAATTGCAGCAGACCATCGATGAAGAGCAAAAGAGGCGTGAGGAATTCAGGTGATCACAAATTAGTTTATTAATCTGGCCGTAATTTTGTATGTCTATTTTTGAGAGCGTTTACAAGCTCCTTTTTCAATTTTCAATCTTCAGGGAGCTGTTGTTGAGCTCAGAACGTAAACTTGCTGCTGCCAAGCAGGAACAGGAAGAACTGATCGTCAAGCTGGAAGCTGTGAGTAATTTTGACATTTTGATGACTCCTAAGATAGAAAACCCATACTATCTGGGCACAGCAACTTGCTAATCAGTCTGGCCCCCGTGGTTCGAGTTCTCTTGAAAAAAAGATAACCCATTTACCCTGGGGTTTTTTGGTCGCTGTGGTTGTACCTGGTCCCAAGATTGGATGAAGAGGCTCTAGTCAGCAGCAGTTGTGATATTCCCAGACGCAGCGAAATGCGAGGGAGGTCGTATTATGGGCCCTAGGAAAGAGGCACGTTTATCTGAAGAGAAAAGGAGAAGCGGGGTTTCAAAAGTTAGGAAACCCTTGCAAAATTTGGAAAGATTTTGTAAATTTTTCGGTTTCAGCTATATATAGACCATCCAATTTTGACGTACTTTCGGGCTTCTTGGAAATTGAGGGGGGGGGGGTCAAAGTGTGTCAGGATGAATCAGGTTCAAATAGGTTATGGACGCCATCGATCGTTGAAAGGGGTCGGAGTAGGGACCATTCGGGGGGGGGAGCGGAGGCGATCGTTTGAACTCAAAAATTTCCCAACACCGACGAACAGTTCGTCACTACCTAGGCCTTATTAAAGCGAATAGACTTTGTCAATTCTAGATCTGATGGCGCACCAGAGAAATAACTGAGGCTTATGGAACTGAGTCTCATTTTTTACATTTCCGGTGAAAACAAGAAAAAAAGAAATTAATAAGCAAGAAAAAAAAAACGAAAAAGAAAAAAGAAAGAAATAAAAGAATTGGTAAGGGTAATTCCTTTTCAGATTGAACGCGCTCGCCGTGTGGTCGAACAGGCAGTGAAGGAACACCAAGAGCAGAACAACGAGCTCAACTCACAGAACTGTGGTCTCGCAGCCGCGAAGAGCCAACTCGACAACGAGATTGCACTCCTCAAGGTCAGGTTTAGCTCGAAATTTGGCCCATCGCAGGATTCTTGCTTTTTGAGAACCTGTAGGAAATATAAGGAGACGCAGTTTCTCAATAGCCCAATTCAGAGCGACATCGCTGAAGCTCAAATGGAACTAGCGGCTTCTGAAGAACGCGGACGTCGCGCCGCCGCCGATGCAGCCAAGATGTCCGAGGATCTCAGAGCAGAGCAGGAACACTCGCTCCAGGTTGAGCGTTACAAGAAGCAGCTTGAGAGTCAAGTAAAGGTGAGTCAGAGAATTTTTTTCGGAGAAAATGGTTTGAAAAGTCGTTGCAGGCCTGTAGTTATAGAGTGCCGTCATAGAGCACCCGTATAGCAGTTCAGTGGAATAAATAGACTCATTTTTCGAGGGTTGACGACATACATTTTCTTATTCATTCATGTGTTTATACTTATCGTAACGTCTGTCGCAGCGAGGACTGTATGACCGTCTGCGTCCCCTGTCTTCTCGAATTCTTTCTATGTTTGCAACTGGAATGCGTCCCTTATTGACTCTGAGGCTCAGACTTCTAAGCATCAAGTACATAGACGCTGAATACAAAAATCACATGAGCTTGGTGTAGTCTAATATGCTCCGGGTTTTTTGGATTTAGGCTAGAGAAGTGTTCAAAATCTCATCATCAAAAAATATCATGAACTATAGCAAAAAATGGCCGATATTAATGAAGCTCGCACAGACAAAGAGTGGTTGATTACCTTCTGAGGATGTGATAACAGGCAACTGCAGACCAGATATCAACACTGAGCTGGAATACCCTGGCTGGGAGGTAAGGCCAGTCGCAAGCAGTCAGCGTTTCCGACGCAGCTCGCATTGGAAGTCAGGCAGTGGTCGCTAATGCTTATGGATCTACCCACCCAAACATCCGCCCAGGAAGGGAATTCATAGGTCGCGCCTGCTCGTATCCTTGCTCACTCTCCTTTGATTCTTTTCTCTCTCCTCGGCGGTTTCCGTCCTCCTTGGACTCTTGACAAGAGCCCTTATTTTGGTTTTTCGCAAGCGCTTTTTCTCTTCTTTTCATTCTCCTCCATTTGTCGTTTTCGCACCTCTACTATGAGGTTCAGAGCAAATTAGTCAATCATTGAAAAAGAATTTCCTTTATATCAATTTTTGCCCAATTAAGGATATGCAAGAGCGTGCCGACATCGCCGAGGCGGCGGTGATGAAGGGCGGTGCCAAGGAGATCATGAAGGCTGAGGCTCGTCTGAAGGCGCTCCAAGGCGATCTGGAGACCGAAACACGCCGCGCGACGGAAGCGGCGAAATCGCTTGCCCGAGCTGATCGCCGAGTCCGCGAACTCGACTTCCAGGTTAGTAGACGGGTGATTTCCATGGTAAAAATCGAAGATCTCATCAAAATCTCTAAAATACTTCCAGAACCTAATCTTTCCTTCATCTTACTCATTTATTGATTGGCAGGACGATTGATCCGCATTAATCGATAATCATCCTAGGTTAACGAAGATAAGAAGAACTACGATAAGCTGCAAGAGCTTGTTGAAAAGCTCTCCGGCAAGTTAAAAATGCAAAAGAAGCAACTCGAAGAAGCGGTGAGTCCTACAGTAACCAAGGAATTCCAGCACAATCAATACATTTTCCGTTCAGGAAGAGCAAGCCAACCATCATCTGGCCAAATACCGTACCGTACAGATGGCGTTGGAAACGGCCGAAGAACGTGCGGACAGCGCCGAGCAGTGCCTCGTACGAATTCGATCCCGCACACGGGCTGTTGTCGAACAAAAATAGAGATCGATAATTCATACAACATATATGAACTTATAAACAATAACACTCTACATGTTTCTACTAGTTCAGTTACAAATTTTCGTTTCCTCGTTGATTACTGTAGCTATGGTTACTGTAGCGCTTGCTGTGTAGTTAAAATAAATTTGTGAGCGTTTTGTGGAGTTAATCAGCATCGTTTTGTGAATTTCTTTCAATATTTCCCTTATAGGGGTCTTGTAATTATACGAAGCACTCTGCCCTCTCAAGAACCACTCTCGTGAACCACAGAAATGGAGCGCATTGCCTGAGCTGTAATGACGGGTTCGCACTGCCCAGCTGACAAACACTGGCCAGAAGTTACAGTAAATCTCAGCCCGTTTTTTGTTAGGAACGGTAAGCTTTGGGCCGCGCCAACCCCCGGTTTTGTTCTAATTCTTGTTTCGTTAACTTAATAAATACTTCCTTCCTTCAATATTCTAATCTTGGCCCCTACTCCCGCCCCCATGTGGTTTCTGGCCCTTGAAAATAACTCCTCTGTCCTGTAAATCCTTTCCTTGCTATACGAAGTTATTACGCGCTCCCTTTGTGCATAGGATTCTAGCGTGGCGTTCAAGGCCTGTCACTCAGATAGATTGTAATCCCTTCATTTCTCGACTCGTCGACCTTCCTGACTATCATATCCCGCTAGTAATCCTTTTAGGGTCCCAGGAGGGTTGTGTCGGTTCGGTTAGCAGTACCCCATAGGACGAGAAAAACAGCATGTGGAGTAGGAACAAGGGTATCCGGGGGTAGAAATTGAGAAAAAGCTGAACTTCCCATTCACCGGTGAACTTTAGGTCTCAAGGTAAGTGGGTAGTCCAGTCGCGTCCAGCCATTCTGCCTACCCATTTATATTTAAGTTATACGATTATTTCCGTTATTCATCTGACATAAACAGAGAAACGGGCCATGATCTGGAACCATTCAGAAGTCGTCACCGTGTTCTGCCAGTCTGCTCCCGCGAACATCTTGAAATCGTCTTCCCACCGCACTCGTGGTCGTCCAACTGATCTGCTTCCACAGGGCTTCCAATTCATCAGCCGCACTTCCCATCGCGTCCTGTCTCTTGTCATTAACTTATTTGCGTAAATCCACTTGCGCTTTCTGGCTTCGATGACAGCGTCTTTCAGTTTGGTCCTTGCTCGTATTGCTACGCTCGATACCTTATCGCGAAGTCGGAGGTCTAACATTTGGCGCTCCATCCGTCGTTGGCATTTTCTTATACGATCCTCTGCTGCTTTGGTTAGGGCCCACGTTTCACATCCATACAGTAGAGTTGGTATCACACATGTGTGGAAGAAGCGTCGTTTGGTCATCAGTGGCGTCATTCTGCTTTTCAATAGGGCTCGAACTTTTCTGTTGATGCTCCACGCAGCGCTGATTCTCCGGCTGATTTCTTGTCCACGATCCTGAGGGAAACATATGAGTTGGCCCAAATACACGAAGGAAGATACCAGCTCAATTTCTTCTCCGTTGGCTCTGAGATGCTGTCCATTAGGGTTGCTGGACATCCACTTTGTTTTGCTTGTATTCACTTCAAGTCCGGCCACTTTCGTCGCACCAATGAGTTTATTGAGCATGCTTTGTAGTCCATCGACCGTTGGCGAACACAGGAAAATATCATCAGCGTAGGCGAGATAGCTGAGGTGATACTGCTCAATGGGGTAACCCTGGCCATCCCAGTCAATGTCATCAAGACACGATTGCAGAGTCAAAATGAACAACAGAGGAGATAACGAATCGCCTTGTCTGACACCTCGTTGAATTTTGATCTCCATCTCTATCGAGTCCAGGGCCAAAAACGATCGTCCAGCAGCGTACAGCTGTTTTATCATTCGAACTGTGCAGTCATCTACTTTGAACTTATCCAAAGCTTTCCAAATAGCTTCGTACTCGATTGTATCGAAAGCTTTTCGGTAGTCAATGAAGACCATGTGAAGCGGTTTCCTCCATTCACGACATTTCTCAATTAGTAAGTTGACGGACATGATGTGGTCACGGGTGGAGAAGCTACGTCTGAATCCAGCTTGTTCTTGTGGAACGAACTCCATAACCACTTCTTCCACACGACGAGCCAGCGCACGGGTAAGAACTTTAAGGACAGTTGACAATAGGGAGATTGGTCTGTAGTTGCTGATGTTCAATGGGTCACCTTTTTTGTATAGGAGGATGGTTTTGGCTTTGACGAAATTTTCAGGGAACTGGTTGAGCTCGAAATGTTGATTTATTTCTTTAGCAAGGTCTTCCGCACATACAGGTACTAGATACTTCGTTACTCCAGATGGTATTCCGTCGGCACCAGGTGCAGTGTTTCCACGAATTCTGCTACATGCTTCACGGAGTTCGTCTGCTGTTACCGGGCGTCTCAACGGGCCTGTCGCAGAGAAGACGTATGGACCATTATGGGATCGGTAGAGGTCGTTGTAGAATGCAGCTGTAATGGCCGCAGCTTCTTGTAAAGTTGTCGTCAGGGCACCATCAGGACACCGGAGTTGGTTTATTTGTCGACGTTCATACGTTAATTCGTGTCGAGCACGCCTTATCTTCAATTTGTCTATTGCATTTTGCATGACACGGTCGTTGTACTTGCGAAGATCGTCGGTAAGTGACCATCTAACTTGTTTGCACAACAATGAGTAGATAACAAAACTTATTGATCCATTTGCGAATCCAAACTTTTGCTTTCTTCTTTCTGCCATTAGCGCCATTGTTCTAGCAGAGATTCGTTCCACTCGTTGCTGTGGTATTTGTGCTAAAGCCATACAATTATTCGCTGCCTCCACGAAGCTGGGGATGTCGAAGCCGCCCGCCGGACGAGGCTGTGCTGCCATTGCAGCCTGCAGCTTAAGCTTGTCAAAAGTGGAGGTAATGGTCTTGACTTCTGCTTAAAATAGGCAGGCTTCATACACATCGCCAGAGTAATTCGCACCATGCGGTGGTCACTCCCAATATTGCATCCAGAAAGTGTTGAAACGTCACGAACATACTTCAGATTCTTGCACAGAACATGGTCTATTTCATTGCGAGTGTTCCCATTTGGACTTCTCCACGTCCACTTTCGTCCGAATCTTTTCTTGAAAAACGTGGCCACAATTAGATTATGTGCAGCACAGAATGAAAGTAAAGCGACACCTCGTTCATTTCGGTCACCTGTTCCAAAAGGCCCACACGTAGACTCTTTGTTTCTTGAACGTCCAATAATTGCATTGAAATCTCCGCAAATGAGCTCTGCTGTACTTCTCGTCGCTAGCCATGCAGCTTCTACTTCATCCAAGAATTGTTCGAACTCATCGTCTGGTGCCGCAGAAGTCGGGGCGTGTACTTGAATGATGCTGAGGCGTCTCCTTTTTATAAGGAATTCGGCTTGGATCACACGTTCGCTGATGTAACGGATGCCAACTAGCCTTTTGTTCATCTGTAAGGACATATACAGCCCTACACCAGCATACGTCGGGACATTGTCGCTTCGTCCACTGTTATAAAGTACAAAACCAGATCCAAAATGAGTGCACTCACGGTTCGGTCTTCGAGTTTCAGCCAGTCCAAGTACAGAAAACTTCACGTTCTTGACATTGGCTTCGAAATCCGCGAGTCGTTGTTGAGAACATATGCCTCGGACATTGACGGTGGCTATCTTCATATAGGTTCTTGCACGGGAATCGCTACTGCCGGCTGGGTTTGACGGCGAAGTCATCGTTGGCAGGAAACCAACCGTCTGCGGGGGAGGTAGACGATGGAATCATGTCTGCCCCTACCATACACTGAGAGTAATCCTTTCACAGTCCCAGGAGGGTTGTGTGGGTCCGGTTCGCTCAGCGTTACCCTATACCTTACCCTACGTTACCAAAAGTGTTCGTCTCTTCAACAAATACTTCGCCTGATCCTTACACATCTTCGATGGTATGCTTTTTCTTTGAAAAAAATTACCTGCTGCAAATCATTCGATTTTCTGTGCATCAGCAAGTTCGTCAGTGAATCTAGTGAGGGAACATTACGGGGTTCACTCCAGGACGTTCACCAATAGGGAGACGCTGGAGGAGTACTTTCGACGATAGACATCAGTCTCATTGTCACAAGCACCGCTGTGCAGATTGGACTTCGGTAGGACTTTGAAATATGCCAGCAGCAGATCCCTTGCTTATATTCCGAGGAAAGATCTCCTCCGATCGTCACTTTCCTTGCTGGCGAAATTGCTCATATAGAAAGGCCCGAAAATTTTGAGTTGTTTCGTGATAAGCCATGCAAATACTGTTATTTAGAGGCATGTGGCATTCCGAGGCATTAGAGTGGCATGTGAGACTTGCTTAATGCCTTTAAAAACACACAAAGCAGAGAGAAACCCGGGTGAATGATTCCCTTAGGTCTTCAGGATAGAACCCTACAGTGACCGTAGCAGGTGTGGCACTCCCGTGTATGGAAATGACCTGACATAGGTCCTACGGCCTTGCAAAGACGGCTTCAACAGCTTCAATTTCCCTCGTCCGTAGCAGAATGTTGTTCTTGCACACTCTCTCATCTGCTGCACTTATCTCGCTACCACACTCCCATTTCTCTCGCGCTTCAGTCTCTCACTGCCTTAGCTCAGGCATTTCGAACGTAAGCAAGCCCTCGTGTCAAGTGTTTTTTACCAGAATGTTTCCCATCTTTCCTTACTGCAGGCCCCAATTCACAATTTTTTTTCGAAATCAATTGCGAAAACAAACTCCGCTAACCTTTCTAAGGCATGCCTATACCGAACTCATGTTTACGCCAGAACTGAAAACGACACCAAATTCAGTGAACAACGCCGTAATACCTTCGCGAATGGGCCGGACGAGGACCTTTTGAGCAATTTATCTCCATGCTATTTTTGTATGATGCAATTCATTCTGTTCTGGATCCGACCCCACTTTCCTCCAACATAATTTCGGCGTCAGTGGGTAGTCAGTCGACAAAATTGGCACAGCTGCTACGATTGATATTGGTACGCTCAATCCGCTCTG